ACGTCTACCCAATAGCAATGGAAAATACCATACTGAGTAGCTATACTGTGCACAGTTGAAACTAACGTTAGCGGAGTCTCTGTTGAGGCTACTACTGAAACTAAAATTATTACGTAATTTCAGGAAGCAAACAGGAAAAAAGCTACGTTAACTGCCTCGACAAATTATTTTAATTCAAAAAAAAAAAAGTTATAACGTTACCTGTTAACCAACTACCGTTTTCATTATACAGGGCTCTCAACTCTCACATATTCGGCTTGAGTTTAAATGACATATCCACGTTCCCGTGCTGTAGTCAGCAATTATTCTATCAGACCGTTTGTAGAGATTCTCAGGTGGAATTGAAGTCCTTGTGCATTGAAGTTTCAGTTTCACATGCGTTACGGTGGATTTCGCCACTAGTACCTAATCTGAGAACAATTATGACTCCGGAATTCTCACGCTTTTCTTCACTCAGGGTTGGAAGCAGTGGAATTGCATAAAAATGTTTCAAATGGTCTTATTTCATTAAAACAATTTGAGCAATCATGAAACACACGCATTTCGTTGATTGAATAATTTCTGACTACAGCATGGGAACATGAATGAAGCACAAATTCTCACGGCGAATGCATGAGAGTTGGCAGCCTTTTAAGTTAATCGATTTATCATAATAGCCTAACATGTTACTGTAATCAGATGACACTAATGGATGACTAACGTCACATAATTTTTACTTTTATTGAGTTCAATTGCCGTGTCTAAGAGCATCTTTCCCGTCTGCATGAGAGTTGAGGAGGCGTGGAACTGGTAAGAGCCGTCAATTTACCGACATCATACAGGCGACACTGTTGGGTCTCGACAAGAGTTATGGGAAATGAGGTCCAGAAGCGCACCTGAAATTACAGCTTACTGCCAAAGATGTCAATATAAACAAACCAATTCAAATCTTACGGATTACCACTTTAAAGAGAATTGCTCAATGGATAATGAAGGACAGGAAGGACAGCTAAAAAGGAAAAATGATTTAAAAGAGGGCAGTGAAGTGAATTAATGGCAGACAGAAGAATGGATGTATAAAGTTGAACTGTGTTGATTTCAAGGTAATTAAGCCACTTGACCTCTAGGCAATTCTCGTTTTCCTCAAGTTGTTTTTTCTCGCAAATTGCAATGAGTTTAAATAAAATTAAATTTCTGAGAAATTACAGAAAGTTAGCCCCTACCCCTACTCTTGCAACTCCTAAATGAAGCCAACATTTGGACGCCTTTTGGTATCTTTTAATCACAGTCAAGCTGATAAATGTAACACTGGAAAATGGAAGAAGTCTCACAAATATAATGTTACTTTTGGCAATTTTCCAGCCATTTGGAATGTTATCAGTCAATTTGAATGGGCGTTATCATCTGTCAGCGGTACCTGATGGCAGAAATCTTTTGTACCTGCTAGACCCTTAGCTTTACCCTTTTATACCTGCAATCAGCAGCTTGGCGAACATGCTTTTCATCAGGTAAGGTTAAGGTTCAGGTTAAGGGAAAAGCAATCATTATCATTAAAGTGCCAGGAGGCCGTAAAACACTGTTCTGTCTATTCAAACAACTCATTCATGTTGATGATTGATTCCCGACAAGTAACTACCGTTTTGGAAAAAATTCGCATTTTATTGTTGGAAAAATCTGTCGATATGGGAGTCCAAATCTTTCAAGAAATGTCTTCAGAAATCTTAGGAAGTCTTAGGGTGATGACGTATGCGAAGGGACGCATAGGGAAAATGGCTGCCATTGTTTACTTTGGGCACGTTGTTGTTTGTTGAGTTTTTGTTGAGCTATAAATTGGAAGGACTTTGTCCCGATTGATCACACTAGAGTCTGCAGTACTAATGATTAAGTATTGTTCAAGGAAGAGGTGATTTGATTTTGGGAGGTCAAGGTCAAAGGTCAAGGGCATGTAAAAGGTCAAAAACACATTAAAAACATTTGCGCGAAGACTACAGGACTGCATAAACACAGGGGTTGCTGGCTAATACTGGCAAAAATAACATTGAGTACATTAGCGGAGGTACTTGCGCTCTCTGAGCGCAGCTCTAGTTTCATCTGTTGTTGTTTCAAGCTGTTGTTGTGACAGTGTCCAGTTTTTTTTCCACGTTTTGAAAAGGGACTGGCTTTGTTCGATCCTATAGGCTATATAAAATGTTAAGTAGATGTTAAACTCTACGCAAACAAATATCGAGCCAAAAAGGGCATGTTAGCGCTATACGGCGTTCACAGTCTAGGTCAGCTCTTAGGGGCTTACATTATAGAACTTAGCCCCTCAGAGCTAAGTGTAGGTGTGGTTTTCAGTTCACTGCTTGCAATAATCATTCAGTTCCCTTGTGATTTTAATTTCATAATTACTTGCTATATATAGCCAACAAAGTTGAATTTGCTTGCCAGTTAGTTTTGTGGATGTGAAATAATTACATTAACACCACAATGAATGGGTCCCACGGCATAAGTCAGCTAATAGCTACAGTGTTCTTGCAACGAATTCACATTGCTCAAAACAACACTGGCAAGCACGTATGATCCTAATCTCCTCTCAACATGGATAAGTGCGCCAGTCCACATGTAAAATACAAGGCCATGTCATTACTGTTTGACTGAACGCTACACATTTGATTTTGGATTTTCATTTGTGCTGAAAATAACAATGTCAAGGACTTACCTTGACAGTATCTCACCGATGTAGTCTTTGAAGTTTATGTTGTGCTGAAGGAGTCAATGCTTTCATTTTGTAGGAGAAAACTAATTGTGCTTAATCTAGCAATATCGTCAGGGGGAAAGAATTTCGTGTCCAACCTCCACTTTTTCCGGCATTTTATTTGCCAGAACAATTTTAAAAGGGGGACGCCAATATATTCTAGGGGATATTTATCAGTGAGAAGGAGGTTTAGAATTTAATATTAACATTTAATATCGCAAATGCATATGCTGCGCCTGCCTAGCAACCCGGTGTGTCATCAGTAACACGGAAGTCGTCGTGACGATATGCTACTAACACGAATAGCAGCACTTGAAACTAAACTCTAAATGTCCTTGACTGGACGTACACTTGACGTGTTTACATCCTAATGCAGGGCTGCCCAACCCTGTTCCTGGAGAGCTACCATACTGTAGGTTTCTACTCCAACCCTAATTCAACACACCTGATTCAGCTCATTAGCAGCTTGTCGAGATCTCTAACTGGGGAAGCAGGTGTGGTTTGCTTTGGTTGGAGTGATAACCTTCAGGATGGTAGCTCTCCAGGAACAGGGTTGGGCAGACCTGTCCTAATGTTTCTCTGGGTACCCAGACATCAATCGATATTGGCGTAGGTTGAATACAGAATTCTTAGTCTCGCCATTCGGACACTACGCCGCACATCCTAGAATGTTCCTGAATGAACATTATTCCTGTTTATAGTCCGAATCCACGCTGTAAGCTGCCTTTTACCACAGGGAAAGCGAAAGAACTTCCCCCCCTTTTCAATGCAATCTGTGCATCTTCTGCCCCACATACTCTGCAAAGAGCATGCACGCAACCCAAATCTCACTTCAGCCGAACTGGTCTTTACTGTGTTTAGGGAGTAAATTAAACAGGTGCTTGCCAATTTTTCAGCTCATTTAATTTGTCCTCTAAAACATCTTCACCAGGCACAAACAAAATATTATCATGTCGTCAAATTCGCTGGAGGAATCGATGAAAAAATCAGAGGAATCAGAATTGCTCTCTGTGTTTTCCATTCAGACGCTGGCTTTGTTTTGATCCCGAGTCCCTTTGATGACATCATGCTAATTATAGCGCCAGATCAAGGTTCGCTGAATGTGGATTTGGAAAATGCTTGGCAGCAATGAGTAAAAACACTTTTTTTTCCTCACAAAATCACTAATAAAACTTATTTTTCCTACAGGATTATTGTTTATGATGATATGATACAAGTGTCTAACGCATAATTGAGCATTTTCGGAACTAAGACCTCCTGGCACTTTAAAAGGTTATGGTTGGGGTTCAAGGTTAGGGAAAGACAATTGTGATTTTATAAAAGACAGCCACTTGCATTAAAAGACAGTCATGAAGTCCCACATGTTAAATTTCATGAAAGCAGGAACCAAAACCGTTCTCCTGTGGGGAAGTTTGTTTTATGTACCCTGCCTACCACCCCAACCTCCATCCTACATGATCTTTCCAGCTCATATGAGTCATGTCTTGACATCCTCTCATCTGAGAGCAACTTCCACTGAACTAATTAAAGCTAGAAATCAAAGATAACCTATTCAACCTGATAGCATGTGCATCAAGGCCCTGCTATCCCATATGGCGCTAATAAAGGTTGAAAACGCCCATTCTATCAACTGATAACATTTGAAGCTAGTCAATGTGCAAGCTCTTGGCTTTTTGGGTAAATGTCACCCTACCCTGATACCTATGAGCTGTGGTCAAAAGACACCAGCCCAATGGGGCTACTTTTACAACTTAACGTAAAATACATTTTTCAATCAAGTGAGTTGCATTCTGAATGCAAGTTTCTTTGTCTGGCCTGCTTAATCCTTGGGTTTTCTTGTAAAATTAATTTTGAATTTTAATCTGCCTGGAAGAAGACTGAGCTTTGATGTAAGCTACTCTTATCATGGGGCATTCATGGTAATCAGGGACTGTAACTGCACACAACTCTGAGCATGGTTATTCAGCCAATTTTACCTCCTGGTCTGCACATTTCTGGAACTCCAAAATACCCCTTTATTTAGGCCGTAAACATGATGTATTTTTGCGGGTGGGGCACAAGTGGAGGCAGAATAATTGCATGAACGCATTAGATAAGGCTGGCGAGCAAATTTTGTTGGCTTATTTTTAACAGTAAAAGAAAATAGGAGTTTATCTGAATATTTGCAATCAATTGCTCTCGGGGATCGCAAGAATTACTTGAAAAAGTTAATAATGACCAATGGGAACTGAGGCTTGTACTACAAAGCAGGATTTAGGGTTAACGAATGTGGCAGGCTAAGGGAGGGCCCAGGCGGGGAATTGAACCCCAGACTCCTGAGCAAGAGTCAAATGCGCCAATCACATCGCCAAAGAGCCAGTGGTCAGCGCGTGTGACTCTTACCCTGGAGTTTGGGGTTCAATTCCCCGCCCGGGCCCTCCTTCCACACTTTGGCGCAATCTCTGAATCTCTGAGATGATGGGATATTCAAAGTCTTCGCAATTTTACATTGAGGAACATATTTCTGAAATTCGTCCATAATTTTAAGATGCAGTTTTACATAGATTGGTGCATCTCTACCCATCTTTCCTTCTGAGAGACTCTGCCTTTCTAAAATGCTCTTTCTACACCCAGTCATGTTACTGACCTATTGCCAATTAACCTAATTAGCTGCAATTGCAAAATGCTCCTCCAGCTATTTTTTATTAGTACCACTTATTTTTCCAGCCTTTTGTTGTAGCTGTCCCAACTTTTTTCAGATTTGTTGCTGCCATCAAATTGAAAATCAGCTCATATTTTTCATGAAATGGTAATGTAGGAGCTAAGTCTATTACTTAAGCTACTGAGGTGATTAGCCCCTGGAGTGACCTGAGTAACGCGCTGTTGCTTGTTTGATGTAACCTTGTCGTGGATGTGTTGCGTTCATTGACCAGTCTTCAGGCTGCCTCTGATTTGTGGAAAAACAATCAATTTATTTTTTCGCCATTCGAAGTCTAGTTTCCATTCTGATAAACCAAACAAACTTGCGAACACCATCACCACTTGTTAGCGCCACAGCGGTCAAAAACCCTTTGCCCTTCCGGGGTAAACACCTGACACCAACAAAGAAATTCTTACCTATATGCACCTGAGCGCTCAATAATAAACACAGCGACACCCCTGTACATGCAGTGAATTATAACACCACCCTGGTTACTTTAGTATCATATTTGGCTCCTACAGGTAGAATGTCTCACTTTCCACATCTGATATGTTGTCTATGTCCTACTGTGAATAAAATGTGGGTTTATGAAATTTGCAAATCATTGCATTGTTTTTATTTACATTTTACACAACATAGCAACTTTTCTGGAATTGGGGTTGTATGTGTGACAACAAGCACGTCACATTTCCTTTGAATGCATGCAAGTTTACAATATCCTCTCTTTTGGGTGCAGGGAGATCAGCAGGTATATTGATTGCAGGCAGATGGACATCTGGAAAGACAATATTAAAGTGACTTGATACGAAGGAAATGTCCAATGCAAGGTATGAAACTGGCAACAAGTATGCTGCATTTCCTTCAAATTTAGGCAAGCAGGCATTTACTTCTCATTTTGGGGCAGGAAGATCAGCGGGAATGCTGAATGCAAACAGAGGCAAGACACTGTTTAAGTGACTTGATGTCAAGGGAATATGCTATGTGAGATATGAAAATGTGTGTGGCAACAAGCATGTTACAAGCGTGCAGGACCTCCCCATCTGAACACCAGAAAATCAGGTGTGTTGAATAGAAACAGAGGGAAGTCCAGTAAGACACTCCTAAAGTGGATTGATATAAAGGTAATAGGCCATGTGAGATATGAGACTGTGTGGCAACAAGCATGTCCCATTTCCTTTGAATCTGCACAAACAAGCGTGACCTTCTCATCTGAACGCAGGGAGATTACTAGGCATGCTGAACGCAGACAGAGGAATGGGTATAACAGGTCTCCACAGCAAGCAGAGGTGAGCTGTCCCAAATTAACGATAGGGATGTTGGAGCAGACAACTGGAGAGGCGGACAAAAGTAAATACATAGAATATGAAGGCAAGTTAATGTCAAAAGACAAACATGGGACAAATTAAGTAAGCAAGATGAGCCTCAGCTTTTGAATGTGAAGCAGATAGTTTGCCTTAAGCAGCATGTTCACCAACGGCAAAAGGAGGTAAGGAAGTTAATAGCAAAGTTTTAGCTATGCTAGTCTGGTAGGCAACGTGCCTCTATAGGCATTGCAAATCATGGGCGCGCACACGCAATACTACTGCTAAGTATATAAAATGTATTATTTGCAAACTATAACCACAATTTTCTGAGGAATAGTGGTTAAAGATCATAGCTGTCAGGGATAATAAAATGACAATGATTTTTGTGAACTGGCTTACGGTATAGGTCAGATATCAAGTGGAGATGAGCAGCATGCTGGTAATTAATGTAGACATTACTTTGCAACAACAAGTTCGTCCAGTTATTTAAAGGAACAGCACAGCAATATTTCTTGAAATGGTCAGACTACTCCGGTGACCGTCATCTGAGTTATGAAAAAACTGGAAATGACCATAAACAATTCTCACTGCCAGTCATTGCTTTGCCTAAAATGGCAGCAGACTTCTGATTGAAATTGATCATGAGAAGCCAAATGCTTTTTCTGTTAATATGAATCATACTAAACACAACGGCCATCGTCAATGACACATTGGTTTTTACTTTAGAATAAAAGAGCCCAAAGCATCTGGAACTGCAAGTTATATTCATCTATTATACATTTGACATGTTTATGATGTTTGGTGACCAGAGTAGGCTCCATCAAAGTCTCACTATATGAAAGAAGTATACCCATCAATTTCAAAAGAGAAGGCAACCCAAAGTGCAACCAAAGCAGACTATTCAAAAGATTGTGCCAAATAGAGTAGTATTTTTTTACACTCCATGAATCGCTTCAAGGCTGAGGACACAGTGCAAGCCAGTGCAATTGTCATTCATAGACATAGTATGCCATCTAATTCGGGGGTTTCAGTTTAACCTAAATGCATTGGAATGCAACCATGTGCCCTTAAAGCCTTCAAGCTACTATATTTATTTATTCATTCACCAATTTATTTATTTACTTGTTTATTTATTTGACGACAGCTAAAGGTCACCCTCCTGCAGAAAAGCTTTGCCATAGCAGACTCAGATCATCTTTTTGTTGCGTTAATTTATGCATGAGAACAGTAGAATCTTGCCAAGCTCAGCGAGAAATAAAATGGCTGAGCAGATATATGTTGCTAATTTTGTGAATAGGATGTACACTGCCCATTACTCCCCTATGTGCTATAACAAATCACACACTCACATTACCAAACCATTTGGCTTGGCTACAAAAGGGCAGCAATTGCATTATCAGGGTATATACAGGAATCCTGGAGTTGCATTTAATACCTTTAAATACTTTTTTAATACCTTCACAATATTTTTTAAAATCAACACAATGTCGAGCGGCAGTCTTTCTAACTCAAGTGAAGTATTTAAGTAATTTTGTGCATTAAAATCCAAATTGTATAAATTTATTACAGTTACGGGACACTTTAGTTTTTTATTAGTTTTTTCTCAATAGCAACACTGACCTATACACAATTTTCCCATCCTTTACGCAAGACAAAATGTTATCCCATTGGGTTACAGTTAGGGTATCTACATAAGGGTGACATGACACTGTCTTAACTATGACATGATACCTGTCATGAGCATTAAAGGTAACATAGAATGGTTGAACGGGGTATTTATCCTTGTTCTGTGATGTGACGTATAGACAACAAAATTTTGGTTGGGTCTGTAATGCCTCAGAAGCTCCCTAAAAACCTCTCTCAAAAAGCTATGTTAGGGTGGAGGATTTTGTACGCGTTGTTTTGCACCTATTTGGGGACCTTTTGGGCTTAACTGGCAACCTCATTATGAAATGCGAGCACTTGACGCTGATTGGATGGCTTTGCTGCCACTCAAAAGAATGTAACTTCGCCCAGAGCGGTAGGGAAAATGGAAAACACTTGCTGGCTTTGGAACACGGACAGACCAACTTTATGCAGCTATGGCATATTCAGAGATTCAGCCTTATGTGTTTGAGCCCAAATTGGATAAGGACACTGAATTGGAGGAAGAACCAGTCCAGCAAAGGCAGGATCTAAACGTTTCTGAATGGTAAGTATTTTTGAATGTATTTTTTTTTTAACGAGCTGCCAAGGCTTACGCATTCGGAGTGAGTCTCTCACATTGACGTTCCTGTGCTGTAGTCAGCAAGTATTCAATCAAAGCGCACTGAAAAAAATTTATTTGCGGAATTTAAGTCCTTGTGCAATAAGTTAATCCGTTTCACATGCATTACAGTGGATTTCCCCACTAGTGACACGGAAATCGATTATGACTCTGGAATTCTTACGCTTGTCTTTCCTGAGGGATTGGAAGCAATGGAATTGCATAAAGACGTGTATGCAAATTATTTTGAAGGGGAGGAAACTGAATGATAGTGGGGGGGGCATGAGATACATGTGACATCATATGTATCCGTTGTTCAGATTGGCCCGTTTTCTGGCGGTCATTTTTAAAAGAGAAATTTCTATGAAACAGAGATGTTCAGAATGTCTAGCACTTTTCGTATGTTCTTGAATGCGGGTAGACTACCGTTATTCAACATAGATAAGGCAAAAACGGTTTTTGATTTTATGTCACCTTTAAGTACACTCTGGTCATTAAGTGTCAATTGGTTTTTGTAATGTCAAGTTGACTTTGTTAGGGTTGTGGTGAAGGTTATGGTAAGTGTAACCCAAGGGATAGGGTTATGGTCAGGATAACTCAAACAAAGTCTACTTGGCACTACAATAGCCAAATAACAGATAATGACAACAATACATTAATAACAAAGTGTGTCATGTCACAATCAAGACAGTGTCATGTCACCCTTATGTACATACCTTCGAGTTTTACCTTTCTTTGTTATGTGTAGGGAGAACACACACACACCACTTCTCCACTCTCATTCTCTCTCAGTGAACAGGCACAAAAGGACATTTTAAACAGACAGAAAGGTTTATTGAAAGGACTTATGTACATGTAGGTCAAAAGTAAAGTGACAAGAAAAGTAATGAGATTACTCTCCAAAAAGAGTAACAGATTTCATCACAAGAGGTAACTTGTGACAAAAATAACTTTGATTATACAGTGAACTCAAAAACAAGATTCCATAGAGAGGTAACGGTGTTCATCAGTAGATACTGTGCATCGTCAGATGGCAGTGTGAACATGCCCCGTAACAAATTTCATTACAATTTAAAAAGGTAAGTTGTATTTGGACTGCACATGATCATCCCTCCAAAATTGGACGTG